TAATAATAATAATAATAATAATAATAATAATAATAATAATAAAACTCAATTACCTCCATTCATGACACCCAGGTGATGCATCAATGCATTAATATTAATGTAACACAATTCTAATTAGCTTTGTCATGATTATTTAGTTAATGCTTAGCAATGATGTGATAAACAACATTTCGGGTAAAACGTACAACTCTGAGGTTAAAAACAAAAAGCTCAAGGAGAACCAGGWGCCTTGTTATATTGAAATAAAGATATGTTTTATATTTAGTAGGAGTTATAGTGTTAAACCTGCAGACGAAGCAGCACAGGAAAATTGAAGAGGGGAAATAGGGAAAAAAGGCACTGCAGGAGTGAAATGGGGTGAGGTTCCCCAAGGGCTCTTTCTATGTCAAGCACAGTGCTTAAATGACTATGAACGAGCTGCCGTCCTCTCATCCCTCCACGCTGAATTGTACTCAGCTTCACATGCGTTCATCAATAGGGCTGATGTGGAGTCTTGACGACACAATTTGCTACTTAAGGGGGCCGTATAAAAGCAACGAGGCGACCTTTTTTTCTTATCGTCAAGCTGTAACATGCTCAACAAGCACAAGATACGTAAAATAAAGYGTGAATGTGAAATGCTGTTCTCCTTCATACACGACTAAAGTAAATGAACAAAGTTGTGGGGAATTTCTTTAAGAAACCAAAAGGAAGTAAACTTTTATGTTGCAACTTTTATTAACTTGTCCTTTTTTACTGTGCATCATAGTATACACATGTCCTGAATGCTTCACATATTAAACACAAGCTAGGAATAAAAAAAGGTGCCCATATACCCACTTTATGTCTCACTCAAAGCTMTGATGTCATGGGAAGTGCAGCAGAAGGCTCTGAATATTCAGCAAGCTCCAGTCTAGGAAAYGTTAAAAGTGAGAATCAAAAATGGCAAGCCACCTGCTCTTTTCATTACAGCAAACTCTTAATTTCCACACAGGTTCCTCAAMTGATTTGCCTTGTGGGATACAATCTTCACTCCCACTCAAGCCCTGTTAAACACTGACTGTCACTCGGCGGTCCACGAGCCAAGAGGTAAACACACGGACACGCAAACACAACTTCATTCTTACATAGTYGGGATCCAAACAACATGTGTGACCTCAAACACAAACAAATGTTGTCACACATGGGAGCATGCTCAAGWGTTTACATACAAGATTCACTGAGGAAAAAAAAAAAAATTGACAGCTCTTGTTTTTTTGTCTCACTTTGCAATAATTACTATAAAAACAGTGTTGCAGAGATCCATTCATAATTTGAAACTTTTATCTGTACTGCATTATGCTCTGGAGAGAAAGTCGATGTTATATGAGCCAGCATTGACTAAAGATGCCTTCTGTCCCACTCAAAACCTAATACACTCCACTGCCACCAAAACTAATAGAAAATATGCCCTATTAGAACAGTTTGCTAATGTATTATTGCTAAGTCCCAAGTAGGCTYGCAAAAAATACAAAGTATATTTAAATGATCTTCATGGAAAGGAGTTTTCTTTAATGAAACTGGCAAGAAGGCTTCACTATCGAAGCTGTGGGCTTCATGCTTAGCACTGAAACTTTTCATTTTACTTCCTGTCTCTGTCTGAGGTTCGGTCTGCTCTGACTAACCAGACGATTCATCCTCTACCAGAATGTGCGAAGGATTTGGAATGATGTAAAATGTTTAACAACTTTTTGTGTTCTCATCCACTGTGACATACTGTAGATCTATGATGGCTCAGTATATT